ATGTACTCACTAATAGCTCATCCATGCTGGTCTGGCATTTTTCCAGGTTTATTCTCTTTATGGCGACGCGCTCCTGTCTGGGGGTGCAGAGGGCCGCCTGCACCACAGCTGTGGCCCCGCTGCCTGAAATCACAGACACAACATAGCAATGACAAAGTGGACAGGAGCACAGAGGGACTCGCTGCAAAGACAGCTGGAACACAACTCTTAAATTCATCGGTCATTATGTGCTGGCGAACAATAACATACGCTGACTTATATACACTTTTGATTTCAATGTGACGAGTTGTTTACTGTGTTCATTCAAAATCAGGTCTTGCTGGGGCAGTGACGTTCACACCAAGAAGCGGGGACACAGCGTATTGCTTTTCAACTGTAGTGACAGATAAGGAGAACAAGCACACACAGGAGATCTGGGAGTTTACCAGCTGATTATGAGAACAGAGGGGGGTCTCCCTAACTCATCTGCTCACAGACCACAGCTGGGGTGCTACTTCTTATCAGCAGTGATATGACTTGTCAGCTCACTGCCAAAAATATTCAGGCAACTTCCTTTTGCAATAGGAGATGTATATTGTTGTTTGTAGTTAGTTAATAATATGTTTTAATAAAAGTAAATGATGATGACATCACTGGAATTGAGCGTTATGTGACTTGTGCTGGCATATCACTTTTTAAAACTTTGAAAAACATTTAATTCAAATGAAAATTCTACAGCACATATAACATGTTCATAAATCTACAACAGGCATATCAAGAGTCTTCTAAGTATAGTGACAGAAAACACATTATAACAAAATACATAAAACTGTTGAAGTATATTTGTATATATGTTTATGAATGTAAACAAGGCTTAACAAGTGATTATGTAAGTGTACAAAGTTAACTGCCTTTGACCTATAGCTAGTTGTAAGCTACAATAAGTGCTCTAATGTAAGGAAGCTGCTTTCCTCCGTTTATACAATTGTATGTATCATTGAGTTTTACACTGTTTGTCAGATATAAAAGGCACATTTAAAGACATCGATCTCTGGGTCTTGAAAAATACGATTGGCATTTTTTCCTTTTTTACTAACATTTTTGAAAGACTATAAAACAGTTATTAATGACGAAAGATCATAGTAAGTTACATGACCGCAGGAGTTGACTCTATTTAGGCTAACTGAACGTTTTACTGGCGTTAATGTTAACCATTTGAATTTCAGCTACTTTAACAACTATCATCATATTACCCTACCCATTAGCTGTAATGTTAGTATGAAGTACATGTTACATTTGAAACATCGCCAATTTGAGATGATGTGATAGACTGTTACATTCTGTTTACGTGCCATCACAGATAGCACATGTGGAATAACACATAGTGACAGCTACAGCTGTGATTTAGTAATGGCTAATAAACTGGACACGTGAGAAGGTCACTATAATCCAAGTCGCATTTACAGAGAGTATCATTTCCAATCACATGCAGCTGATGCAGACCGGTAGTTTTTAAAAGTGCCTGTTAACATCCGCATTGCAAAGCATTGCAGGAGGCTACTGCTTATAAAAAAAGCCGGTAGGCCCCTCATCGTCATTCCCAGCTGATAACTCGTGTCTCTCCGTGATAAAACACAGCGTAGGCCTACATCACATCTCCCGGTACTAACCTATGACTTCCTGCAGCTCGTACGACTCTCTGGTAATTGGCCAGCTGGTTGTCAGCGCGGGCTGCGGCTGGAGGACCGGAGCCGGAGACTCGCCTTGATCCGCCATGATGATGATGATTCTGCGCTAGTTAGCAGCCTCTCTCACAGACAGACAGAGACTCAGAGAGAGAGAGAGAGAGAGAGAGAGAGAGAGAGAGAGAGAGAGAGAGAGAGATCATAGGGGAGCAGGACAGTCCGACACTCGGTCGAGACCCGAGAAGCTAGAGCGAAGATCCGAGGAGCAGAGCGATACGAGACGAGATCCCCCGGTATACAGAGACTCTCCTCTCTCCTCTCTCTCTCTCCTCTCATCCCTCGAGCGAGAGCGATCTCTCTCTAGATTCTGCCGCTATCTTCCTCTTCCTCCTCTCTCTTCGAAGATCCTCGATCTATAAAGAGAGAAATTGTACCTCCCTTCCTCACTACAAATGTCAGCTGGCGATGTGACAGTGACACAACCATGGACACAACCCGGAAAATAACGGACCGCACGCGCACTGACATGCCAGTTGACTACACAATGGTTCCATACACACAGGAAGACAATGAATACAAAGCACTGTTACCATCTAAGGAGACTGACAGGTTGTTCAAAAGGCAGCCATTCCTATCTTTAATTAATTATTGTCTTATTGATGTATAGCGACTATTCTGTTAAAAGAGTGTCTAGACGTTGGTTAAATAAAATGTGTAAAATGACTTGGCAGCCGTTTGTGTGAGACAGTAACACGTATGTGTGACGACTTCATGTCACATGTAGGCAAAACTGCAAGTGACGTTGCAATCAATGGCCGGTAGATGGCGCCATTACATATTTGTATTGTCATCCCGTATCCCAATCTTTTAAAAGAATAGGAGGAATTCCGTTTGTATTGCTTTTGATTATGATGTATTGAAATTGCCTGTGAAACTATCGCATTCCCACTCGCAAACTATCCTTCATTGGTACTATTAAAACAAGTATGATTATTTACAACACAATACTGCCCTGTGGATGTGGAACTACGACGGAGTATTAGGGCCACATTTAGAAGAAGAACAAACAGAGAGATTTCGAGAATAAAGTCGTAATAATACGAGAATAAAGTCATAGTTACGAGAATAAAGTCGTAATGTTACGAGAATAAAGTCATAATTACGAGATTAAAGTCGTAGTTTCATAAGTGACTTGAGAAGGAGACAACAGGAGCGTCCTGCAATAAAATGAGGAATGTGGAGCATCTTGTGAAGCAGTAGGCTACTTTAGTTCAGGTTTCTCAAATAACGAAATAGCCTACTTAATCTTTTGGCACATCAGCATCAGATTATCATAAGTATTAGAACTTTAAAAAGGTTGTGCAAGAAACTATGCTATTATTTCGAAGAAAGAACCAAACGGACTTGGAGGAGATTGTCTCCTTTCTGCTGGAGGAAATGGCTGGTTCTGGCCGACTACAAGGCTATCGTTGGTTACATCTACGAGCTGTTCAAAGGGGATTTGTTGTTTCACAAGAAACGATGAGACTTGTAATCGAGGCTTTGGATCCAGAAGGAGTCGGACGATAGCCTTGTAGTGGAATCGGAATGAGCTCCCCATTGAAATCAGGACAGCAGAAACACATCTTCCGGCGCAGACTGAAAACTCTCTTTCGACTCCACTTCGAGCGATAGAATTACTAACAAAGAATTGCTAACAAAGCACTTAGGGAGAAGGGGGTAAATTGAGCCAGTGGGTCAATTGAACCACCCCCTGTAACCATGGCAACGCCTTATAGTTGTAATCAAGTGACCAGAAATTATGCAAGCTCCACCCATTTCTCATTGCCTGTGAAAGAGAGATACTCATTGTGGGAGTAGGGCCTGGCACATTTCGTGGCATCTGCAGGCAGTGGCAAGTACTTCCGGCATATGCCACAGATGCCACTACTCTGTGGTATCTGTGGCAAGTACTTCCGGCATATATCACAGATGACTCTGAATTGTAATGCTATGGTATTTTTTCTAAAATTGTGGCTATCGAGTCAAGTGAACCATGGGCCATGGAGTAAGTTGAGCCACTTTTTCAATGGAGAAATTAATGAAAGTAGGCCAAGTTGATAATAAGAGCTCATTGTAGGCTACATTTAAAGTTAAATTTACCCTGTGTTTGATTGGTAAGATGTATGAAATTGTATCACCATTTGTATGATTACTTTTCCTTTTAACATGTTAAAAAAAATCAATCAATTCAATCGAAATTTATATTAAAAATATTTGGAAAACTAAGCTTGTATTTGGTTTGTTATTTATTGTTTATAGTTACCTTTAAGATTTGTTGTAGGTATGCCCAGGTTTGAACAGTGGTTCAATTTACCCCCTGACCTAGATCAACTTACCCCTAACCCGGGGCAAGTTGAGCCACAATACTTTTTTTTTTAAAGAAGTAATATTTTCACTGCCCTTGATCAAATATTAATTATTACCATTGCCATTGATAGGAGATATCCTGAATTATAGGTGTGTGTTTTCATGTTTACTATGTGTAATTTCTCCTTGCTTAGAGGACAGCATAACTAAAGAATGGCTCAATTTACCCCACTCTCCCCTACTAATAAAGGACTGGCTAATCTAAAGCCAGTTGAGTAGCACTTGAAATGTTTTAGCTCTATGAAACCTGATGTACTTATATGATTCTGGTTTCTTCAAGTTTGCATCTTGTTGGTCGAATGCACTTATTGTAAGTCGCTTTGGATAAAAGCGTCAGCTAAATGCAATACATGTAGTCGGCCAGAACCAGCCATTTCCTCCTGCAGAAAGGAGACAATCTCCTCCAAGTCCGTTTATCAAGTCACTTATGAAACTACGACTTTAATCTCGTAATTATTACTTTATTCTCGTAACATTACGACTTTATTCTCGTAATGTTATGACTTTATTCTCGTAATATTACGACTTTATTCTCGTAACTATGACTTTATTCTCGTATTATTACGACTTTATTCTCGAAATCTCTCTGTTTTTTTTCTTCTAAGTGTGGCCCTAATACTCCGTCGTAAAATATATACCAAATGCTAAAAATAGAAACGTTTTTTTTTACTTTGTCACATAATTTATGAATTTCCCATCTCAGAGGTCAACTACATCAAATCTGTCTGTAGATGGCGTTGTTTACCAACATGATGTAGCCCATCGCTTTAGTATTGCCATAAATCCTGCTTAACTTTCACAAAAAATGATTAACGATCAGTTTGAATTCAGTTATAACAGTGCATTGAAGATGACACCTCACATGGTAGGAAGGCCAGTATGGGTTTTCTTACGATAATATAACCACAAGACGTGTAAAACTAGCTTTAAAAACAAAACAAAATACATGTAGCCTTCTGTAGTGGGTTCATAAGGAAACATACACTGTTAGTGTCACTCTAAATATGCTACACAAAACGTGGTTTACCTTGATTACGCCGTTATAGCCGGCATAATGTAAAGCGAGTGTTTTGCTTGACATTTCAACGCACCAATCAGCCGCTGAGGAGCTGATTGAGTCTACTTCCCTACACTGGGAGAGCTGAGGGGAAGCGGACGCACAGCTCGCACGGATATCTCATCATCAGCCACGGTACACGGTCAGATCGCCTGTGAGAGACCTCCGGGACACAGCGGGCCATCGACTTCTCTTTCCCCCCGGTTACGGTGTCTGCTGCAAGGAGATGGCGGGTATTTTGGCGTGGTTTTGGAACGAGAGGTTCTGGCTCCCCCACAATGTAACCTGGGCTGATTTAAAAAACACAGATGAAGCAACGTTCCCGCAAGCCGAGGATCTGTATCTGGCTTGTCCTTTAGCATTCTGCATCTTTATGATTCGGCTGGTTTTTGAAAGGTGGGTCTAAGCACGCGATAATCCAGGTGGCTGTGGTACGGGTTGTTGTGTTGAGGAAATGCTCCGGTGGATGATGCAGGCAGCACACCCCGCTGTCCATGTTTATCTATCTGTTATCTAAACAATGGCATCTTATCTGGTTAGCCCACAAATCACCACGGTTGATCATCCTTGTTTCTGCAGGCCTGCAGCGTTACGCGCTGTCTGCATTTGATGCATCTGTCAGAGCACACATACACTCACAGTGCGGCCAAGTTACCATACCTGCCCAAATCCAGTTGCTGTCCTCTCTGCTCAAACCTGAATTTAGACAAAGAGCCATGCCGGAGACCGGCTCCTTTTACTTATCCGGGTGGTTTGTTGTCACTCTCGAGCTCCAGATATGATCATCTTATTATTGTACAATAATCAAGCCATGATGGTACAGTCATGCATATATGGGTCAGAAGTATTTTTTATAAGTATTGAGTAAGGCCCCACTACACCCCTCACACGTTAAGTAGCCTACTACAAAACATAGTTTGATCATTTATAAAGGGAAGATCTGCTGAAACAGTGAAGGCACCAGTCATGATGTATCAGTTAAAATGTGTTAAATCCATGAGATTGTGCATACATCATTTATTTTAAACAGTTTATTTAGATAGTTACATTTGGTAGCAACTTGCATATTACTGCATCCCAGCTTGTGTTTTACCAAATGAATAATCAGAAATACACACACTGCCTATGATATGACATGATATGATGACATGATACTGACTTTTCAACCGGAGATGCTCAAGATAACCTGGGAAGACAACTTGTGTTCAAAACATTGTCATATCATGTTAGAGTAAAATAAGAATTGGTAACAAGCAGATGCACATGTCCATGTGACAACTGAGTGTTTTGCTTGTGCTTCCTGGTGCCTTGTGTCCCTATCCCTAAATACTACAATACATGTCATGTTATTTTTAATTGCAGGTGTATTGCAAGACCATGTGCCATGGGCCTGAAGATCCAAACCAACGGGCCACAGAAAGCACAACCCAACGCTATACTGGAGAAGGTTTTCACTGCTATAACCAAGGTGGTGCATGTGTTCTTTTCATAATTTTGTATGTTTTATCTAATGATATGTGTGCCACAATGAAAACTAAGATATGCCGTGTTTATGTTGTCTTGCCAGCATCCAGACGAGAAAAGGTTGGAGGGTCTGTCCAAACAGCTCGACTGGGATGTGCGGACCATCCAGCGCTGGTTCAGACAACGCCGAAACCAGGAGAAGCCCAGCACCCTTGCACGATTCTGTGAAAGCATGTAAGGAAAATCAGCTTTAACACCTTATCATACAGCAAACACTAACTGAGATGCAAGCCAATTTTCTATGCATGTTATAACATTAAAGTTTAGGAAAAATAATTTCTCCAGAATTAGTGAAGACCTTATCTTCTTTATTACTGTCATGAATCACTCTTTTGTTTGTCGGCTATTTAGCTATGGGTGAAAAGTAATTAATATAAGCTGCAGTGCTTCATCCACAAAAACATGTTTTATAGGAAGGTGGCAGTAATGTAAAACTTTTGTTAAGATCAAATAATAATTTACAAATCTACCAAATATCAAAAAAGGGTAAATGCCCCTTAAAAATGGTCCCAGAATAATGTATTTTGGCAAATCAACAGAACATATACGTTCTGTTAAAAATGTTATAAATAAAAAGATAAGCAGCAAATCCTCTTTGTAGTGTAGACTATCCATTAAAAAGCCACTACTAGGCTAATAGGATTTTAACTTTATGGGCCAATTACCAGAAATGATAGTAGTCAAAAAGAACATGTGCAGCTTAAATGTATTATATAAACAATACAGGTTCCTAAATTCACAGTATTGGAAATGAAACCGATAGATGTTTGGCATTTTTGCCTGAAAAATTACTGAAACAAAGGTAGCCAAAGTTGCCAATGCATTCTCAGTGGATTGACTAATCAGTTAATCCACCAACCATTTATGCTTTACGCACAAACAAAAGCATAAACTTTAACAGCGATCATTACATTTAGCTGACGCTTTTATCCAAAGCGACTTACAATAAGTACATTCGACCAGGAAGACACAACCTTGAAGAAAACAGAATCATATAAGTACATCAGGTTTCATAGAGCCAAACATTTCAAGTGCTACTCAACTGGCTATAGATAAGCCAGTCCTTTATTAGTATATAAGTGCTCTGTTAGCAGTTCTTTGTTAGTAATTCTATCGCTCGAGGTGGAGTCGAAAGAGATGAGTTTTCAGTCTGCGCCGGAAGATGTGCAGGCTTTCTGCTGTCCTGATGTCAATGGGGAGCTCATTCCACAATTTTGGAGCCAGGATAGCAAACCCACGTGTTTTTGCTGATGGGAACTTGGGTCCCCCTCGCAGCGAGGGTGCAGCGAGTCGTTTGGCTGATGCAGAGCGTAGTGCACGCGCTGGGGTGTACAGTTTAACCATGTCCTGGATGTAGGAAGGGCCAGATCCATTCGCAGCATGGTACGCAAGTACCAGTGTCTTGAACTGGATTCTAGCAGTTACCGGAAGCCAGTGAAGGGAGCGGAGGAGCGGAGTGATGTGGGAAAATTTAGGAAGGTTGAAGACCAGACGAGCCGCTGCATTCTGGGTGAGCTGCAGAGGTCGGATGGCACATGCAGGTAGACCAGCCAGGAGGGAGTTGCAGTAGTCTAGGCGTGAGATGACGAGAGCCTGGACCAGAACCTACGTCGCTTTCTGTGTCAGCTGGGGACGTATCTTCCTGATGTTGTAAAGCGTGTATCTGCAGCAACGGGTTGTAGCAGCGATGTTTGCAGTGAAGGACAGGTTGTTATCTAGGATCACACCCAGATTCCTTGCAGTCGGAGTCGGGGAAACAACAGAGGTGCCGATGTTGATTGTCAGGTCAAGAGTGGGACAATCTTTTCCCGGAAGGAAAAGCAGTTCAGTCTTGTCAAGGTTGAGCTTGAGGTGATGAGCAGACATCTACTGAGTGATGTCAGCTAGACAAGCAGAGATGCGTGCGACGACCTGGGTCTCTGAGCGGGTAAAGGACAGAATTAATTGGGTGTCGTCAGCGTAGCAGTGGTATGAAAAACCATGCGGGCTAATGACTGATCCGAGCGAGTTTGTGTACAGGGAGAAGAGGAGGGGACCAAGAACAGAGCCCTGAGGGACCCCTGTAGTTAATTGACAAGGGTCGGACTCGGACCCTCTCCAAGTTACCCTGTAGGTACGGTCTTTGAGGTATGAGGTCAGGAGGGAAAGTGCAGAGCCTGAAACTCCAAGTTCTTGGAGAGTGCGAAGGAGGATCTGATGGTTCACCGTGTCGAATGCAGCAGACAGGTCCAACAGGATGATGACAGAGGAGAGGGATGCTGCTTTGGCAGTATGCAGTTCCTCAGTGACAGCAATGAGAGCAGTTTCTGTGGAGTGACCTGCCTTGAAACCAGACTGGTGCGGATCCAGAAGGTTGTTCTGATGGAGATAACAGGAGAGTTGTTTAAAGACAGCGCGTTCAAGTGTTTTAGACAGGAACGGGAGTAGAGAGACAGGCCTGTAGTTTATAACATCAGACGGGTTGAGAGTGGTTTTTTTTAGGAGAGGGTTTACTCTTGCCTCCTTGAGACTGTTTGGAAAGTGACCAGAAGTTAGAGAAGTGTTGATGAAATGGGAGAGAAACGGTAGAATATCAGGAGCGATAGTCTGAAGGAGGTTTGAAGGGATAGGGTCCAGAGGACAGGTGGTAGGGCGGGCAGAGGTAATGAGGGTAAGTACCTCACTTGGAGAGAGAGGGGAAAAGGAGGTTAGTGTGTGGGTGGAAGGAGGGTCTGGTGACCCAGCGGTGAGTAAAGGTGAGTCAGAAAAAGAAGAGCGAATATCATCAACCTTTTTTTCAAAGTGGTTAACAAAGTCGATTGACAGAAGTGAGGAGGGGGGAGGGGCTTTGGGAGGGTCCAAGAGGGTGGAGAAGATGGAAAATAGTTTTTTGGGATTGGAATAGGAAGATTGGATCTTATCTTGAAAGAAAGTGCTTTTTGCCTGAGAGATCGAAGCAGAGAAAGAGGAGAGGAGAGCCTGATAGGTTAGGAGGTCGTCACAGTGTTTGGATTTCCACTGTTTCCGCTCTGCTGCCCTAAGGACGGTTCTATTAGCACGTAGTGCGTCATTTAGCCAGGGAGCAGGAGGGGACTGACGAGCCTGCCGAGATGTGAGAGGACAGAGAGAGTCACAATAGTATTTTGTTTTATTAAAACATCACTGTATCTTCCATGGCCCATGAGTTTTGATGCTACTGTGCGATAATAGCAGCATCCCAGTGCAGGCAACAAACTCTCTCAGGCTGTAATGGAGAAATGGCTAATCTTTAGTAAAGCATTTGCCATCAGGGAAATTGTAGTTACTTAGCAGTGCGATGTTAAAGGCCATCAAGCGAGCGTGGCTGTCAGAGCACAGTCATGTCAGACACCGGTATAGCCAATCTGGCAGTTTGAGACACAGGGAGCCAACATCCTCTGCTCCGCCTGAGGCTGCTGTTCACTCAGTACAACACTGCTGGCTGGTAAAACCACTGGACTCCTGTTACAACATCACGCAGGAATCTGAAAATAAACTGCTTCCTTGCTTGACCTTTTTGAACATGATTAGCTGGCATTCTATCTCTCTAAGTAACAGCAAAGCCGTTATCAGCATGCAGCATAATTGACTGCAGGAGATATTAGGCTGTTGTAGTAGTTTGGCTAAGTATACTGTCTAATTTGCTTACAGTGCAATTTTCCAAACCCGTCGGGCTTCAGGCCTTCCAGCAGCGATGGTGCTGTAATTAGGCATTACAGCACCATGCACAGCTGTTGCAGACTGATAGCAGACTGATAGCATTCTTTGTCTCTCAGTTTTTCAGAAGGCTGATCTGTTGTGTAGTCTTTTCATTATGCAAACAGAGAAAAGAGCAGTGCACATGTGGCCTGGAAATAATGAAGACCCTGCATAGAGTTTTTCTACCAGCTTTTGTTACTGCCTCTTTTTTCCCAAGATATATTGTACATAAAAAAAAGAAAATTCTAACAAGTATATATTGATTTTGTTTTTCAAGACATCCACAGTAACCTCTCTCTTACAACAGAAACCTGAAATCTTTCCAAAAATGTCCTAAAACAGGTTAATTGCGAGTAAACATATCCAGATTAAAAGGTGTTTACCACTGTTTACAAAATTGAATGTGATACTACAGTAAATGACAAATTAATATGAACAGTTTTTTCAGTAGTTTCATCTCAAAGTCCCTATTTTCATCAGTTCCCCTTGGTCAGGGCGGGCTGAGGAAGACATTTTTTTTTAATGTCCTCAATACTCCCTCTTGTCTCATCTCATCTTCCTCAATCCTTTCTCTTCTCTACTTCACTGAGTACAAAGAACATAAATAGGATATGTAATATGTGATAAGATATACAGTGTATTTATTTGACAACTTAATGTTACTAAAGTAGTTACTATTTTGATCTTGTAATGTAGGGCTTCTCAAACTCCGGACCAAGGTCCGGATCCGGACCAAACTGCAAATCAATCCGGACCGAACCCTGTGTCCAGTTATAAAAAATGTATTAAAAAAAATTATTAAAAAAAAAAAAAAGAAGAATTTCTGATTCTGATGTAAATTAAAGTGGACCTATCATGCTATATTGGAAACATATATTGTAGGGCCATACCTATACAAAACATGTCTGAAGTTTTTCAGTTCACCCATTGTAGCCATGCCTCATACTGCTCATACCCCCTCTTTTGCAGCCCTGTTAGAGAAACGCAGATTTTGGGTCCTTAGCTTGAAAAAAAAAATGCCTGATCAGAATTCTACCGGGGATAAAGTTCAATTCTGCTGTGATAAAACGCCATCCTGTTCTAAACCACATCAAAGATTTTTTCTGAAACAGTATGCTCAAATGCTTTTTCTCTTGTGGGTTTATCACAAGGTGAGTTCCTTTTTATTATTTATTATTTCCTCCTTTTTAAACACATGTGCTCTCCAGTACAGGTTAGCTCTGAGTGTTAGCGAGGCCTGCTAATGTAAACAAAGACGAGATTACGTCCAAAACACGTCAGGCATTGTTTCTGATAGCAATTTTCTGTGGGTCCGCTGCCGATTTGACGTCAGATCGGCAGCAAATCTGTATCCGCTCGTTGTACCCCTGTTTGTAAAAGATTTGGGTACGGAGGAAAAGAGAGGATGGGGGGGGGGACTTTATTGGCATTGATCCGGACCATTGACCTTGTATAAAATGCACAAGTGGACCTTTAACAAAAAGGTTTGAGTACCCCTATGTAATGTCTATCTTTGGCTTCAGTTAATATATGATGTACAATATTTTTCAATAAGTTTTGACGTATGTTTTTTAGATTTAATTACAACCATATTTGATATTTTAAGGAATTGTTATATATTAATTCCCTTTCCTTCCAAGAGTTAGTAGAGAAGATTAATAACAAAAAACAGATTTACTCATTATATTCTTAGCAAGAAGGAAAATAAGTGCATTTCCCAAAAGTGAATGCTCTTGCTTTTCCTTATTTTTTCCTGTGACTGATATGTTGGGTCTATGATTTTCATAACTTTCCGCCTGCACACCTCTCTAAAGGCAGCTCGGCAGACACCAAGCCGGCAGTTAATAAGCATGTTTGTGTTCAGCCAAAGCTTTATAGGACAGCTGAGAGATGAGCCATTAACATGTGTTCTTAGGGAGGACAGCCACACCCGTGTTTTTCTTAAATTAGTTGCAGTCATCTTTTACCACATTTAAATAACTGGCTATGAACAAGCTTTTTCATTTTGTAATGTTAGACGAGTAAACAAAGGTGTAAGGAACAGCCATTACTGCCTGGGGAGTAAAGGCAGTGACTAAATATATATCAAGGTTTTTGCACAACTTAATGCTTATCAAAGCGTGAGCTTCATGCCTTAATTGTGATGTTAAACCATCCAAATGCAAATAGTTGCAGCCAGTTGGTACTCAGACTACCCACTTGGAGAAGTGACAACATGGAATTAAATGATCAAACATTGTCCGCTTGATATTATTTTATTACAAAAAGTAGACCTGTCCTCATTCTGAGTTTTTAATCAAATCAAAGCCCCGCCACCCCGCTACAATTGCTGACTTCTGCAAACAGGTACATTTGTTAGTGATGATATATAGATGATCATCTTATATGGTGAATGGTTAATTAATGTATTCAAGCTATTATAAAATATGCTGTTATGTACCACAGCACTTTAAATAAACCTCCTATTATTGTGCCACATTACCTACAGTTTTTAGTTGGTGTACAGGCCAAGTTAATCAAAACACTACACATAATTTGGCTAGCCACAGATAATATCCAGCTTATAAAAGTGTATTTAGCTACTTTCTGCTACAATAATGATAGAAAATAAACGGCAGCTCTATGATAATAATATGCTTAACATTTAAAATATCTTAATCAAGACTTCTTGAAAAGAAACGTAGCACACAATGACAAAAAAGAACATATGTGTCTGACTGGGGAAGAAAAACTATTCACGGGAATTCAAGGTGTGAGTCATTGTGATTGTACATGTATAGCAGCGATTCAACAGCACTTGAAACAGACTCTTGCAGGCGCAATGAACCAGTTGCCATGCAACAGTCTTTACTGTGTGCCAGGTAGACTTTAATTTAGTTAATTTGGTTTTACAATAGTGTTGATCAAGCACAAAGAGCAGCTAATAATGGTCTCCATGGGCCTTGTGTTAACATGCTTAGAGATTCTCCAGCATTCATTACGGAGCTACAACTGAAAACCTTGAACAAACATTCTCATAAAATGACTAGCTCTGTTGTGCGTGCACGGAGAAGCTGATTTATCCTGTTCTCTTTTTGTTCGTGTCATGTTTTGTTTGGAGGCTGTGGATGTCAAAATGTGTTTGATTTGAGTTCAGCCGGAAAAACCACACGGCACGACCTTTGAGTATGCAAAACCTTGTCTCACATGACAGCTTATACAGCTTCCGTCACTGCGACGGGAGTCATCAGATGTCCCAGAAGTGAAGCTTTGTTTTGTGCCTCCTCAGTTTTCCTCCCTGAATGCTATTGCATTGTAATCAGAATTGTATGTTTCATATGTACTAGAATTAAGGCTCCCACAGGAAAAAACATGTTATCTACAATTCTAAACATATCTATTTTGTGAAATGCTCTGACAACACAAAAGAAACCAACAGAGGGTCTCCAATTCAAGCCATACAGACAAATTTAGCTTTTGTTCCCTAAAGAGACACATGGTATCATCTGATGCAACTTCCAGTGATGTGTAGTTAAGGGGCTTGCTATTAGACCAGTCTTAAATCCTTCCTCCCAGTTGCTGACTGTTATAAGCCAGTATATATATGCATATCACCCTGCTCAGCAAGGCTTTGATCACTGAAGTGTCAGCTGAAGCACTCTCTTCTCTGCCTGTAAGCCCAGACCTCATTATAACGTTCCCTACCATTGTGTTGCCGTAGTTACTGTACATTAGGTGCAGGGTTATATAAAGCTCGGATCAAGATGGGCTGGGACATTTTCGAGTGTCTTGTCTTTTTCACTCACAATTTTGAAGGTTCAGTGACTCACCCCGGTTTGAGTTTGATAGGAAATAAGAGGATCTCACACCACTTCAAATATTTGAATCTCTGACCCACAGTGTGCTGAATGTAGGAACAGAAGTACAAAAGTAGGATACCACAAGTTGTCTTCACATCCCCTGGTAAACTTGTGTTTTTACTGTATGTTGTTTGACTTCAGGATGTGATGCAGCTGTATTATTCTCTGCTTATTGGTTTTAGCAGATTGACACTTTGATTTTCTCTATAAATTAATCATCTCAATCTAATGTTCCAAATTATAGTATGGATTAAAAATGAGAAATCTAATTGGAAAAGAGAAAGGAAAAAAAAGCTGAATGAAAATAGTTGAACAAACTCTGCACGCAGCTAAGGGCCCATTTTAAGGAGCATGCCCTCCACATTAGCCCATAGCTTACTAATACCACTGCAGTTATGGCCCAAAAACAAAACATTGTCACGCAAATCTAAACAAATTAAATGTTGAACATTTTGAAATGTATATTTAATTATATATATATGTTATTTCCTTATTTCTTTCAGGTGGAGATTTACATTCTATCTATACATATTTACTTATGGAGTGCGTTTCCTTAAAAAGGTAAGTTGTCCTTACTTACAGATGAGCACCAGAGTGCTGCTATGACTTAAGGTTAGAATGAGTCACTGAGTTCAAATAAATTTTTCTCTACTTCACATTAAGTTCATGGCAAGCATGGAAATCTTGTGGTTGCTCGCATGGTTAGAGCCTAGTCATGAGGCTGGCAAGTAAATGGATGGTGTATGGGACTCATTTAAGGCAATTTGTAAGAAAGCCTAGTGCAAAAAGTAGTCTTTAATAATGGATCATACAAGCAAAGGAGAGCAGAAAATGAGCTGATAATAAAAAGCATTACCAATGCTAAATATTGCCTTTCATTAAATATGCAATCCATTTTTCCAAGTATGTAGCGCTCAGGAATTAACTGTGTTTTTTTACGGTGCTTGACTGCTTATGGAAGTCAATGTTTGCTTGTGCTATTGTTAGCCATCCATGAAGTATGTGCAGGGTTACTTTAATGTCTGCTGCAAAACAACAATTGAGATGAACATGGTGTTGAAAACGTATTGGTAAATGGGCAATGGGACATACTCATAAAATACTGCCTTAAAGTGAATTAAAGATGCTTAGTGTTAACAGTAAAACATGTCTAAATTATATAATGATGAGGCTACTTCCGGCGGCTTTAAGGCTCCGGTTGTGATAATGATATACGCTTCAGTTAGCGCATAAAGTTAGCATGCTTTACATTTCACTTGTATTTTATAGCTAAACACCCAAATAACTATCAAAACGAGTAAAAATGACAGTTGTCTAGGTTTGTAACCTTTTGAAGGACTATTTTGTTTCTAAGATAAAAAAAACCCAACCAACTGCAGTGTTGGCATTGAACGTTACTATTCTAGATAGGCTATCCTCTGCGTCCGCTAGCAAAAACATTAGCTTAAACGGCTAAAGTTAGCTACATGCATTACAACTATGGTAGCCCTGACTCAACATTTATCTCTGAAGTGCTCTTTTCAAAGCACTTTTCTAACTTTTTCATTCTGCGCCAATGTTAACTCTTTGAACTCAATAATCTCATGTATGTCACCACAATGTCTGCGTAGTTCAGCTCTCCTTGTTTTAGAAGTTTTAGTCACACACATTTGTGTCATTGGTGTAATCGCAGAGTAGGGAAAGGCCATAGCAAAAATCTCTCAAAGACACAAGTTGCATGATGAAGCACTTTGTGAAAATAGTTAATTCCCTGGCAATCCCGCTGCAGGCTCCTTCCAGTCTCCGTGGGATTTATTAATAGAGCAGGTCTACAGAGGAGTGCAGGAGACGTAAACTCAGTAACAGTGGGTCACTGTTTGCTTATAACTCATTCTTATGTATCATAGTTACCATTTCTCTTGCCGTCTTGATGGCATTATGTTATGAATAATAACCTAATATGAGGTTGACCACCCCCTTGTTCCTTTTTACTCCAGCTTCCTTTTATGTCAGGGTAAGCACTATAAAAACATCTCTCAAACCAGTTATTCAGAATTTTAGAAACCACTTTGTTTTAATTCAGAATCCATCAAGGGAATTTTTCATTGTTCATTGTTCACATTGATATTTAGGCTATGTGTTGGATCTGAAATTACAAATTGAACTAGCTCCAATTGTATGTGTGGGAACAGCCTATCACTGCATTTATATTGTTGTTTATGGAGCCTGCTATTTCTAGGCTTTATTAAAATGTAACATATGAGATGTTGTCAGGGATTTGAGTCTTTGGAGCGTTCTCCCTGGAGTTTTCACAGCAAATTGTTTTACAGTGGTGTCTTAACCTTTGTCACTTTAAGTTATTATCTTGTTTTATTAGTTTTATATTATTTAGGTTAAAAACTATTGATTTTTAACTTAATTTGTTTTTATTTTCTGCAGACTACATGGCTTTGGAACACTAAAGAGTGCTGGTACAACTACCCTTACCAGGTAAAAGGATTTTAATACATCCATACTCAAATATCATAGCAAGATTACTTGCTACCCACTTCTCAAATATTTATTTTAACCTTGTTACTTTTCGTCTTTCGCAGCCACTGACTGTGGACATCCATTATTATTATATACTGGAGCTGTCTTTCTACCTGTCCTTATTCTTTTCACAATTCACAGACATCAGGAGGAAGGTAAGAATGACTGCAAGACACCAAGACATACATCACGCATCTCTATTAACATGAAACGTAGAAAAAGATCTACAGTAATGCAAAATATGACACTTTAAATTACTTATTTTGGGATGGATACAGACATTTCTGTTCATTTCGGTTTTTGTTTATGCCATTGTAAGTAGTTCCGTCGCAAAAAAGGGACATCATTTTAAATGCTTTTCTGTCCACCGGCCATTATTCTGTAATGTTTAGTCTGTTTGCTTGTGACCATATTTGCTTTCTGACTCAGCATATTCTCACTGATGTGTGAAATAACATAATATTGCGAGGGCATAAAGGATTAACACTTTTTCCAACATTCAGAAATTGTCTCAGTTAAAATTCACTTAAACCTTTCTCAAACTCCCTCAACTATTTGTGTAAAGTTATTCAGCAACAACATTGTGCTCTTGTATCCCATACATGATGTGTGGTGTTGGAAGATATTCAAATTTAAGTTTAGTCTTTTATTTGTATAGATAATTATCCCAGGCAAGAATTCTTCATTGAAAGAAAAGTAATAGAAAAGAGGATTCAATTTATGATGCATTCATTCTTAATCCTAAAAATATTTCATGGATCAGAACACACACAGTAGCACTAGTATTTTCATCTTTATATTCACTATTTCACAATGTATTCACTAGTGCTTCCAGTAAGCTGCTCCAGCTGACATTAACTTTACATTCTTATTTACAATCAGATGTATACACACACTACTGTTTACACATTATGCACAATGGTCTTTAAATAAAGTTCCAGATGTCCAACTTAGTCAGTGTTTCTAAGAACTGAAATCAGCTTGTTCAAACATTCCTCAACCCACTTTCATCTCCTTTTTTTGTCATGAATATTGCTTCACATTTGGTTCATCAAGTATCAATTTGCATGCCTTCCAGCCATGATCGTACTCCTGTCTCCAGTCCATCCCAGCTCTCCCCTCTCCACAACAACACTTCACTCACCGCACTCGCAGCTGCCCCCACGATGCCATGCTGTGTATGCCTTCACTCTGTCATCTCTTTGTTGACTGTTGGCATGTTGTCTGTTTTTGTTTCTCCTTTCAGTTTTTTCATGCACAGCACTACACTGAGGAGGTCCTCTGCATCCCCTGCCAATTCCAGTATGTTCTCCCTGCACACTCTTGCCTTGCTTCCATTCTGTATCTTGCATCATTACTCTTCCTTCTCATCTTCCTCCTCATGCTGTCACCATGTTGGACTGGTTCTGGTTGCTTTGAGCTGAGACATTTCTTAAGATTTGCTTGAGGAATGCCTCCCTGTGCCACCTGTCTGCACCCCTAGTCTCCTGGAGTTTATTCAAGGCAAGCCCAAACCAAATGACAAGACAGGACTAAAGCTTTACTATTGTATACTTGACTTTTAAATACAGTATGTTTCAGATTACTGCGAGCTCAGGTTCAAATGTCCTTTTGTGTGATATATTTGTATTGAGATTGGATTCATTTTTAAACAATGGTGGAATGTAACTAAGAACCTTTACTAGTACTATACTACACATGAGTATTTCTATTGTATTTTAACATAACCTATTTTAATCTAAAGTTACCAATCACTTTAAAATGCAAATAGAATTCTACATATGATGTGGTTGTAAAAGATAATACATTGTCATAAATAAAACTACCATACAATATATATACAATCACTAAAAGGCAGCTTCACCATGGCCAACTACAACAGTAAAATACTGCTTTCTGTCTAATGCATCAGTAATAATGACATAATTGAAATTAATTTTGTTTTTATGGAGTATGTTTTATTTAAGGTCTTGAATGATTCCCCCGCCACAGATGTCAAACATATTTCGAAATGTCTATTTTCCAGTTTGTCACAATATAAATCATTACCAACACATTCAGTAAGTGAACACGTAATCCAACCACACACTTGCATCACCACGGAGTGTTCGTCATTCCTCTGACACTGAGGGCGTGTTTGCTCTGTTTGTTTTGTGGGTATGAATCATTGGCTTATCATTACTGTTAATACCTTTTTAAAACGCTGTGCCAATCCCAGTTGTACATGATGAACACGGTTCACCAAGACAAAGGTTTTATTTTAAAAGACATTGATCCACAATCATGACGTACACACAATGCGGCCGTTACTCAGTATTCAGTCGTCGGAAGTTGCCTGGCCGTTTTTAAGTACAAACTATTATGTATTACTGCAATAACAAACTGCTATGGTGTGTGCAGTCATGTCCGTCTGACTCAATCACACATCTGAACTGCACTAGATGCTATGAGTATGAACCGCATGCAGTGACTCAAACAGCCACGAGGCAGTGCTTACTCTAGTTGTGTGACATTTCCTTGACAACTTTGTCCCTAGGATTTCCTGATCATGTTCCTGCACCATGTTGCAACAATCTCCCTCATCACCTTTTCCTACGTGAACAACATGGCCCGAGTGGGAGCGCTGGTCATGTGTCTCCACGATGCAGCCGACGTGCTAATAGAGGTGAGGATGGGTGAGAAAAAAAATAAAAGCCTGTGGATGGAGAGTTTGGCCATGGTTGGGTGTGTGAGTTTACTTAGCTTTATCTAAACTCAACTGCAGTCTAATATCATGTACATTATGAAACACTTAATCATACAGGCACGGTGCATGCTCTTCGTTGGAGACCATTTAAAATCCTTTTTTAGATATTTCAAAGATATTCATTTTAGAAATACTTTGAGAGATATTTCAAGCAGTTGTTCGCAAGATTAATGATTGTTTCTTTTCTTTTTCTACAAAGGCTGCCAAAATGGCAAACTATGCCAAATGTCAGATACTGTGCAACCTCTTGTTTGCAATGTTTGCAATTATCTTCATAAGCTCCAGACTGGCAGTGTATCCTGTTTGGTAAGTGCAATTCTGTATATGTGTGTCATGGTTAGCATCTTTCTGAAGTCCGACTTCACTGAAATAGTGTTAGCCTGTCATTTACAATACAGTCACAGTCAGAGACCTAAACACATGGGCAGCTTTTGGCTTCCCCAATGTGACTTGTCAGTGCCACAAAGATTTCAGTGCTTTTTAAACTACTTTCTCCACAACGGTTTGCAGACACACTCTGTGAATGTTGTTGCTAAGTAATAGTTACTATGGATACAGCAGCTTGAACCCCTTGAAGAAAGCCAAAGAAAACGGCAAATGAAAGGCAACACATTATGGTTTGCATCTTATTGTTAAAACATCAAAGGGTTTTATTTCTGATAAGGATCTTTCAGCATTTTGTGATGCTGCTTTACATTTATTTTCTTTCAGGGTTTTATGTTATTTCTTAACACAAATCAGTCTTTGAAAGTGTGCACAGCAGTGATCTTAAAGCCATCAGCAGCAGTGTTATCACACCTTTAGTGTGAAAACACGCCTGCAGGTGTCTGCTTTCCTTGATATACCATTGATTTTTGATCAGCATAAAAATTATATTTAAGGCATTTAGATTCAAGTTTATTGTCAATAATTCAGGTTTATCTGAAATACAGGTGCTTGTAATAATTAGTAATTATTTAGCCTTAAAACAGGTTTAGCCAACACCCCACAGCTCCACACCTGTGTTTCACTCTATGCTACACTACGTTTCAGTGAACCCCCATCACACCGATAGTAAAGTTGTCATTACTGTAAAGCTGTTGCCATGGCTTCAGTATCGAGAGGATGATTCACAGACAGTCATTTGCAGGAATTGTCTCAGGGATATATTTAACCAGGCTTCTGATTTTTAAATCAATTAGTAATTTAAATTACTTTAGATTTGTTCCATGAATTGGACTATAAACCACTTTACAGGTTTGTTAACGAACACACACATTTCTGTTTGTTTACCTGCTCCTCAGGACAGACTATAATTACCCTGTTAAGAGAAAGCACTTTTACCCCCTTCTGTGTTTCTAATTGAACTCATCAAGTTAATTATCTCCCTCTCCCTCTGTTGCCATGGAAGGATTTTAAATACCACCTTGTTCGAGAGTTGGGAGATTGTAGGGCCCTACCCGTCATGGTGGGTCTTCAACCTGCTTCTGATCTCGCTGCAGCTGCTTCACTCCTTCTGGTCCTACCTCATAGTGAAGACAGCGTGTCGAGCCATCTCCAAAGGGAAGGTGAGTCATTACACTCGGCTCCTCTTTCAAGTCCCTCTGCATAATCTTTCCACTTATACCTGTTGTTGCATAATAGGCTGTTTTGCTGCAAGTTCATAAATAAATACTGTGTAGTGTTGTCAATAGCCACTTTTGATTGTCCCTTTCTATTCTTTCTGCTTAACTGCATCCGCCAAGGTGGGAAAATGGAATCCGTTGCATGTAAGTAGCCTCAAAAGGGAACATCATGTATACATTATTGTACTGTGTGCTTAGATTAATTTCATGTCTTGGGCAGCCATGTATTCATTTCATAAATCATGATTCTGTCAGTTTTTTTATCTAATCATTGCATATGCTTGCCGCCTAGCTTCAGGTATGTTAATGTGGATATTTGTCAGTTCCACAACGCTGTTCAGGACTGAAAGATCTTACTAAATATTTTACATATTACTATAACATTTTGCACATTTTATCTAGTGCAACTAGCAGGTATTTTATTTAAATGTAATGTATTTATGTTAAGGATTTAAACTTAAAAAAACAGTCAGAAATTGTGATTATAATAATGTTGATTATTTTCTGACATAAAACAAGATTACATTTAATTTAGGTGAAAATGTTATCCAAGGCAACGTTCAATAAGTGCAATCAACAAAGAGGATATCAGTTAAGAATACCCTTTAAAAAAAACACAACATAAAGCAATCATTTGGAATAACAACTGCAAGATTGATCAATAAAGTTGCAGCCACAATAATGTCATGTTTCAGAGGTCTCTTAGCATGGCTTTTACAGCGTGTAGCCTGATATTGATTGGCACAACACCTACTGGTTGGACACACAAAGGCCCATTTGTACTACCGCCACACATGGCTGCTGCAGATGCTGACACAGAAAGGAATTTTAATGAGAAAAATCTAATCTCCAATAACCCCGTTATTTCTGCAGGTGTCTAAAGACGACCGCAGCGACATCGAGTCCAGCTCCGATGAGGAGGAAACTCCCCCAGCCAATCACAAACAACACAGCAGCAGCGGCACCGCCAACGGGACCAACAAAAATCACGGGACCAACGGCTACCTGACAGGGGCCACATATACCGACGAACACTGACCAATCTGATATCACAACACTGGAGCCATGCTACAGACACCATCCATCAACCTGTGTGTGTGTGTGTGTGTGTGTGTGTGTGTGTGTGTGTGTGTGTGTGTGTGTGTGTGTGTGTGTGTGTGTGTGTGTGTGTGTGTGTGTGTGTGTGTGTGTGTGGACATGAACAACATTGCCTGTCTGGTACTGGAAGTGAATGCAGTTTTGTTATCAATTTCATTCTTTACTAATTTCCTTGCTCAATTGAATCTCTTTATCTATATATTTGCATCAAACTGCACTCAGTGAAATCAAAGCACTCCTTTCGGTACAACCCACTCTTTGTTTAGCCAATGAATAAAAGCATTTCACCTAATGGTGTAAGCATGCTACTTTAACATACAGTAGTCTGGCATACTGGGGGTGTGTTTTTTCTTATGTTTTGTCTTTTGATGTTATTTATTTTTTATAAATATATTTGCAGATGGTGATGCATCTATTTTACTTTGACGTTTAGTGTTAAAGATAAAATAATCTTGAATGATACGGCTATTTTTCATACCACACATCATGACGAGTATTAGCAAAATGCTAAAGACCTGGGTTTACTTTTAAAGCTATACCCCCAAAGATATGCCAAACATGTGTGAGATGCTCACATTTTAAAACACATTCTTCACTAAACTGTATGTGAGATGTCAAAAACAGTATTATGTGTGTGCATCAGATATGGCTAGATGCTGTTTTTCCTATTAAAGCATTTTGTTAAGTATTCTGATACATTTCTGGTAAGCATTTCATGAAAGGTCATTTGTCCTCTTCGGAGGCAGACATGAGTTGTTTGAGTTATTCAATAATAAAAAAAACATGAAGATTGCAAATGTGTTTGAGTTTGTTCAATAATTGTAAAGAAACACTTTATGAAATCCTGAGGGTGAATTCGAATTTTAAAATGAATTAAATATGATCATTCTCCCATAAGTAATGACGAGGGATCAAATACAAATAATATTTGTATACTCACAACATATGACTTACCGACAAATCCTTGCCTCTGCAGTTCCCGAGCTCTACCAACCATTGTAGTGTCTTTCTGCTTCTAGTTTCTGTTTGTCTACCAACAACTTTTGGTTTTGTTCAGTTAAAGCTATCAATGTGTTGTTTCAGACACAGTTAGCTAATTGTTGTAGAGTAATATTATTATGGAGCATTTAGCTGCTAGATATTGAGATATGTTCCCAAGGGGATGTAACCCAGACCGGTTTAAACAAAGTTAAAATTAGACTTTCATTCAGCATGTAAAATAAACTAGGTGAACACTAATGTTCTTCAATGTCACCTGGTTGCTTTTACAAGCAAATGCTTGTAAACAAGTTTCCCATACCAATTGTAAAGGTTATTTTAATGTCAACATGTATTGCTGCTTGGAAACATGACTTGGCCTTTATTTTGTGTTTATATTTTTCCTTTATTTATATCTGCTCCACACTGAACTGGCATCCTGCTTGAGTTGACATTGTAGTTTCTTTTTTTCCTCTCACTGGAATTTTTCTTTCTATAAAACACTGAGAAAAGCTCAGGTGATTTCCGCATGAGTGAGTTTGGGAGGAGGGTGGTCAAAGTTCCCGGTCCAAAGTCAACAAACTGCTACAGTCTTAAGATGAAGGACCCTATCAGCACCTGCTCGGTAAGTTTATCTTGAAAAGGTCTCGGTTACCTCCACAACGCACTGGAGTTAAAATATGATTTCAATGTGTATTTAATGTACAACTTAGTTTGTTTCGTTTTTTAACTCAGTTGATTTAGGCCATGTTTGCTACATGTGGCAAACATATCACAGAGGCTAATTCTGTCTTTCAGTATAACCAACTCTATCAAAATGTGAAACGGTTTTCAAAATCCGGGGAGTACTTCTGCAGAGAACTTATGACAGTTTTCCAGCAAAGGTAGGTTCAGTACAACTATGTCCTTCAGATTAACTTGTAAAGACGACAGGAGTTACTGTTTGACTCAGCTTTTGTCACTTGCTGCAACGCTTTATTGTTTTAGGGCAGAGCTGGAACTTACTTATTCCAAAGGACTACAAAAACTTGCTGGCAAACTCATCAGGGCCTCCAAAGGAATGTCAAACAAGTAAGGAGCATATTTTAAATGGTTGTCTTTTGTCTATTTTGTGTTTAACATGACCTCTTCCTGATATCGTGGGAACATGCGCCTAGCAAGATAGGTGTGATCAAAACACAAACAGATGATGTTTATGAGCCCACACCTCTAACCTATTCATGCTGGTTCCCCACTCAGTTCCACCTACAGTGCCTGGTGTCATGTGTCGGATGAGATGTACTCAAGAGCAGATGCCCACAGGTAGGTTTCAACCATACAGTCTATGGTTTCAACCCAAGTTCACTTCACAACCGTGTCTGTCCACAGATCAAACCAAAGATTTAAGTTAAACACAGTGTTTTCTTTTCAGGTCACTAGGAAATGCATTTCAGCAAGAAGCAATTCTGGAAATACGACAAGTCTTAGACGAGCATAACAAGAGGAAGAGGCCTGTATGGAGAATCTTCTGCATTTTTGTATCATTAAATCTGTCTGTGCAAGCTCCAAGATATAGCGTGTTTTTAACCTTTTAATGTGCTTTCATAGCTTGACAGTGCCATTGAAAGAACTGGGAAACTTTTTACTGCCAATTGGAGTGAACAAATTAAGGTAAAGGAAAATGCAGAAATATGCATTAGCTATGATGGAGCTGCTGCTGCATAGACCATTGTTAACAACATGCTGATCCATAAATGCTTAACCCATAAAAAGTGTGTGTGACTGTCAGCTATTATGTAATAATAGACTATAATATAGATTTTATAGTAAAGCCTTTACCATATATTTAATGTATGCTTGAACTGCACAATGCATTTCTGATGCGATCAGTATTAATAATGCATTATAATATATTAAAACTGTTATGAGCCATTACTAGTAGTGCATCACATATTCAAGGATTATAGTTTCTTATCAGTCAAAAGGTCATGACTGTAACAAAAATTATGAACAACCATAACCAATTATTTGTTAAGCTGACAGAACAGAAACATAATATTCATTTGACCTTTAAAACCCATCATGCAACATGGGATATTTAATGATGATTGACTGTTATCTTTGAATTGATGATGTATTATAAAAAACAGTTGGTTGTTGCTATGACACACCTGATATCATAAGGTTGATAGCATTTGTTAAACTGAAGTATGACTGTGTTATAATGGATTATGTTTTACAGATGAGGGTTCTGTACAAAGCTTATGTTGGAAAACAATGTGAACTTTGGTGTTCCTTTAAGTATCTAAAATAGCCAGTGCATTAATTGGACAAAACAAATAGATTATAAACCTGGCGTTTTTAGAGTTGCTTTAAAGAGATTGACCCTGTTTCTCTCACACATGGTGTAGTAAACTGCTCATTCAATGTTTACCTTTACTGTTTTGTGTGGATTTATTCTCTTCTGAAACAGATAAAGAAGAAATTGGTTGGACTAACAAGAGAGCATGAGGCTCTGTTCAACTTTGTTGAGAACAACAGACAAATCTGCACAGAAAAAGAAAAACAAAAGGTGAATTGTATGTCTACCAAACACATTTGTCACCACGACATACATTACATTTCCCTCTCATGTTTTGCTAAAAGAGTTTCCCCTTGTTCTTGACCACAGATGCTGAACAGGCTGACTAAATCGGCAGAGTTACAGGCGCGGGTGGATGATGAGTACTTTAACATCAACATGGAGGGTCATCAGATGAGGCTCAAGTGGGAAAACACACTGAAAAACTGCCACCAGGTACGGAAAACATGCTCTCCCGCTTCTCATACTGTAGGCATTTAGCTGTTTTTCCTAGTGAACAGATTTGGTCAATCCTTGTTTAAGGACACCCCATTTTGACAAGAGCTGAAGCAGTGACCTTTTTGCTGCAGAAAATGCTCTACAAACACTAGGTCAGTCAATTATATAGGTACGCCAAATATCTGCCCAGTGTTTTCAGCATTTTATGTCATTCTGTTTTCTCTGAGGTACACACATTTTATTAGCATGCAACAGAGAAAAACAGCCTTCGGTTACTGTACATGCAACACTCACTATGACCTTGTTTTCCTTTTTATTCAACATTTACCTCAGGTTTAGATGGTCTTCATTCCACTGGAGGTGATATGTTGGGATAATACATGCTACACAGAATATATGACAAGGACCAGACTCAATAGGGATTGAATGTGCTGCACCAAAAGCGTCACAATGTTATTTTCTGCTTTTTCAGGTCATACAGGAGCTGGAGAAACAGCGGATTGAAGTTCTCTTCAACATATTGAATAGATACAACCTCCACATGTCCAGCTTTGGGCAAACCCTCCAACACGTAAGGCAGCCCTGAACTCCATCCTACTCATAAGTATGCAGTTATTCCTTAAATTAATGTTATCATTTATATTTTCCAGGCCCAAAAAAAGATAGAACAGACAGTGCAAAGGGTGGACATGGACAAAGACATACAAGCCCTGCTGGCGGAAAACAGCATCACAGCAGAAGATCACAAAGCAGAGTTTTTGGTGGCTGATTATTTTGTAAGTGTTTTTTTTAGAAAGCTGGTATGCCAGTCAGACTCATTCAGTGACTCAACCATTCAAAGACACGCTTAGCCATCTCCGCAGGGGGTCTCTTTTTGATAGGGGCGGACAAGCCTCAGAAGTATTTATCGTTTTGTGACAGGGCCTAACATGAAGGCGGTGCTCCAATGTATATGTTCTGCTTTTTGTTACATTTCGTCATGTTTACATTTCTAATTATGTAGTTGTTAGGTCGTGCTCAGGTCTTTGAAAATATGACCGACATCCCAATGGGATTAACCTGCTTTAGTGGAACGTTGTATAACTGTGCAGTAAAGGCAATAGCATGTTTGAAATACTCACGGCACAAACACATACTGTGTAGTGTCAACAGTAGATTTTACCCAAGACCATCATTGTTACTGATCTGTGTTCTGGGTGAAACAGGAGGAGGACAGCAAGTCACTGATGGCCAAAGACCGAAGAAAAGAAGCCATCAAACTCAAAGTCCAGCGTCTTGAGGGCAGTATTACAAAGACAAAGAAAGACCGGGAAGGCAAGTTGAGCGCATTACTCACTAAATAGTTCATTTAAATACACAATATAACCTGGTGGATGTCCTTTATAAATCAATGCATTGATTTACAATGGGCAGTACCATGTGAGGTCATTCATTAAGTCTCTGTCAATATTGTTGTTGCAGGAATTGAAAAACTGATGAGAACGTATTCTGCAAATCCATCTTTCTCAAACCAAAAGAACCTGGAGGAGACTGAGCAGCAGATTGATGAGGTAAACAATGTGTGTAATGGACAGAGGGATAGTCATGTGTACAGAAGGACATTCACTTCAAATTGATTACTACTGTGCACTCATGTCATATTGTTGCTTGTAGAGTACCTTAAAACTGGATCTCCTCGAGGCCACTCACTGCAAACTCTCTGTGTCACTGTGCGAGTTGGAGGGCAAGGCCAAGTCCTTTCATCGATTCAGTGACAGCATCGTGAAATGGAAAGATAAGGTAAGACATGCGTCATCTTCAGGACATGGGAGTGGTTTAAGGAGGTTTCTTATTGAAATGTCACTGGTTTGAATGCTCAAAACTAACAGGGAAGAAAGGACATTTATAAGCATATTTCAGAAGTGTATCTGGCATTAAAAGCAGACCCATTAAAATGACTTTCCTTGGATTAAAGAATAGTATGAAAAAGTTCCATTTGAAGCAGCCTTTTAGTGGTTATTGAGTTATAACTGTTTAGGTAAGGACTGCGTGGGCGACTTTAATGGTGACATTATTAAACAGACATTAAAAAAAAGGGGATTCCCAAGCTTTTTGGTTGCATGAATTATATTTTAAAAATGAATGGTGTCTCAAACTATTAATAACACAACATGGATATATTTTCCAAACATATTAATCCTGGGATTTCCAGTGTTAGAGCGAGTGTTTGTACGGCATATACCGTTATCTGTAGAGCCTCGTAAATCAAATCAAGTTTTATTTATATAACACATTTTTAAACGATTTTTGGTCGAGCCAAAGTGCTGTACATATAATTTAAAAAATGTATGTATCGTAATTATTAAACACACACTGTTTGTCTGTTTAAGGACTGTGAGCACAGCGTTGTTCAACTGACTCGTCCAGTGAAGCTCCGCAGGACTCCCTTCAGGTCCCGACAGTCCCTGAGAGCTTCCATCATTTACAAAGGACCGGCTCAGTTTGTGACACAGCCGTCTGTGGAACAAGTCACTTCCACAACACACGAGGCTGCAGAGTGTGACAGCACTGTTAATGGAGCCCTGCCTCACACCAATAATGACAAAGAACAAGGCAAGACATTTTCAGAGTAACACAAAGATTGATTTTTTAACATTAAACAGGTAAAATATTTTTTAACATTAAACAGGTAAAATAACACCAGAGCTGTGCAGCATAGGAAAATGCAAGGCCCTGTACGACTTCACACCTGAACAGGATGATGAATTGACTCTGAAGGAGGGTAAGTAACAACGTAAGTGCAGAAAGAAATTCCAAAACAGTAGAGGTTTGTAATCTTGTAAAATGTTTTTGGTCACAGGAGATCTTCTAGACATTTGTGGAAAGGAAGAGAATGGTTGGTGGTTTGGCAAACTTGATGGGAAGACAGGTCATTTCCCATCAACGTATGTGGAGGAGCTGCCTGTGTTAAGCAGCATCAAGTCATCGGATGCCTGACACAACTCATATTCAAAAACACCCTGAATCAGAGATTCACTTCTGCACTGATGAAAATGTAATGGCAACAACTGAAAGACTCGTACCAACTAAAACTACAAGTTGTGTTTGTTCTGACTGATTATGTTCATTGTACAGCACTATACTACTGTATATACTCAAATGTTTAATAACAAATAAAGCATTCATTAAAATGTCTATACATTCCTTTATACTTTTTGTCTGTGCTCTCCATGGAGTTATTTTATAATGCTGTATGCATCTGTGAATTTAACACCTAAATAATAATTTTCACCATTATTTATGCGCAGATGAACTTAACTATTAGCGAATGTTTGATAAATATGTTATATATATGATTAAGGAAAAATGAAGCAAGGGAGAGTTATTAAAGTTATGATTATCCCCATCTACTTTAAATTGAATAATGAAAGGAAAAAACAAATGAAAGCTTTTGACCCAATATGTGAATGATGAATTTTTAAGATTTAGATAGAGGTTTCCACTAAAATGTTTACAAGTCCATGCTCAATGATGAAACAAGACATTTGTGATGACACATTACCCCAGTATTTGTGCAATAAGTCCAGATATTTCTAATATAGTATTTGAATTGTTACCCACAGAAATGTATATTAAACCCCTATTTGTCAAAGCAGTTGAATCCTTGTTAGCAGATCTGTATTGTAGATACAGACTGAAAGCTTTGATCAACATTAGTCCTCATCGCATGCTATATCTTTCTCCCATCCTTCCAATCTCAGCGGCGTGCCTGAGAAATAAACTCCTTTCTGACGCTAGCCAGAAATGTTGGTAACTTATTGGTCTTCTGAAGCTGGCTCTCCAGGACTGGCAAACACCCGAGCGCGGGGTCACTGGACACAACTGGAGAAACAGAAGACTTTATTATAGAAGACATGGTGGTTGGAGGATAAAACTGATGATATATGTTGTGTTTATATTGTCAATAAATCCCATAAAAATACTGAACCAGCATTGCATTAATTAGATTATTACTACTCTACGCTGTCTGTTGTACTCACCCCCATGTCCATTACTTCCTACTGACAACAACATGTATTAAAACTGGTCTTAAATATATTTGTATTATGAATGATTTCATAGAAACCAGCTGGGAAATAATGTATATCACAGACTCAAAATAAATGACAGTGGTCGTTGTCATGGGAATGGGCGAACACATCAGCTAGTGCAATAGTGTGACACCGTTATATTTTCACATTTGAGTTTTGGAGAACAATTGAGCTATATATGGCACAGGGGGATTAGCTTCATGAGGCACTTGTTATGAGTATTATTTTTCCACACAAAATAAAAGATATTGTCAGATATATATTTTATGCAAGTATAGTTTTCTTATGCAAGTATGCGTGCATTACTTACTCTGGTATGATCCGTCTTGATTGAGGCCCAATGTGACAATGTAAGCGCTCTTCAGATCTGAAGGGTTGATATTCCGGAAAATAAATTGCAGCTTTTCACCTTTACAAAGACAACAAACATATTCTGTTATATTCTGAAGACAGTGAGTGCCACTGAAGACAGTCGGGGTATTACCTGACACAAGCAATTACTGGTATGTGTAATAATTGATGAATACAGACAGTTATTGATAATGGAAATTGCACACTTGGCCTACCTTTAACCACTTGTGTTTTGCCAGAGATTGTTCGTATCTCCATCGCCAAATGATCTTGAAAGACCCCTCTGGCTTTCTTGAGATACTTCAGTCTGTTTTTGTTTGTCTTGTGTTGAGACAGAATTACTGGAAGAAGAAAAAGTCAATGGTTCTGTTACTAAAATAACCTAAGGCTAAAATTGCAAATCACGTTATGAGATCCACACCATATATTTAATTTTCAAAATATAGACGTACACTCTTTTCTCTTGGATTGTTCTTCTTTAAGTGTCTCTATCTTCTGGATGATGTCTTCTTTCTGCACGTCCTTGTGCTCAATCTCGGATATCATTTCAGAAACGGCATGCCTTTTCACTTTTAATGATGCACTTGTTTGTACCAAGTCTGGAGGACAAACATTGCAACAGTCAAAGTACGTTTTCATCATAAAACTGTAGCCCTTGAAGCGGCATTACAAAATGTTGACATGGTGTGTATCAGAAAATGAAGAATTATTAAGCACATAAAACAGTTAAAGTACTAGAACAAAGATAACGATGGCATTGGTCAATATTGATCATTTCTACAATGTTATAATCATATAAACACACATCTTGGACTGAATGTAAGCCATATTATCAATGCTTTGTGGTTTAATGCATCAACTCACCTCTTTTGAATGTTTCTATTGTCTCAAACAGCATCTCATCATCCTTACACTTCTTTAAACACGTATCTGCAAAACAAATACAAAGAAAACGTTAAGGGTCAGCTTGATTTTAGTGTTAGAAGCAATGTTGAAACTATATCGTTTACAGACTGCAAACATTACTGACTATAACATTTCAATTTGATTCATTTTCAATATAAACCCCAGGAACAGTTATTATTGGAAGGCCAACAACTACTGGAGATGCCAATAAACAAGATGTCAGACATACCTACTGCACACTTCACAAACTCTCTGTGGGACTGGCACAGCTCTGTCGTCTGGTCGATGATCTCCCCGAACGTCTTCAGGTATTCGTTGTGGATCTCCTCCATGGCACTGGTGAAGCCGACACTCATGTTTGGATCAGTAATGGACTCCATGATGTTCACAATCTGCAATGAAAACAACAACAAACAGCATAATGCTAACTATGTGCACGAAAATAACACAATTATTATGTAGTACTGCACATTTTGTAAAGGATGTGTATAACTTTAATATCTGGCTGTCAACTAAATCTCCTGGATCCTAATAATAAAGTTAAGACTAAAGCTGAGAAGCAAATACAAAAGGGACCAGTGATGCAGCATAAATGCAATTTGCCTCACTTGCTGTCAGAGGTGGAAGAAGTACTCAGATCTTCTACTTAAGTAAAAGTACCAGAGTGTAAGAATACTCTGTGACAAGTAAAAGTCCTGCATTCAAACTATTACACAAGTATAAGCATCAAAAGTACTTAAAAGTACCAAAAGTAAAAGTACTCATTATGCAGATCGGTCCATTTCAAAATAATATATATTATATGTATTGATTATGATTGTTGATGCATTAAAGTTATATCAAAGCTGGTAAATGTGCATTTAGTTTGAATGACTTTGCAGGGTAGCTTGTAAATCTACTCCAGGTTTAACTAAAGTATTATTTAAGAGTTTAATATATATCACATCATTAATCCAAATCTGTAACTAAAGGTATTCAATAAATGTAGTGGAGTAAAAGAACAAAGTAGCAGGAAAATGAAATACTCAAATACTCATTTAAGTACAGTACTCGAGCAAATGTACTTACCTACGGTAGTTACTTTACACCACTGCTTACTGTAAATAAATACCACCACACATGTTCATATGAAAGCACCAATCAAGTATTGGCACACATCAATAAACCAACGCACTGCTACACATGTCTACCTATGAGACTCTATGTTTGTATAAATGTATAAGGCATTGCTAAAAGTAAATACAAACTAAAATAAGAGCAAATGACTCCTCACGAACTGAGATGCAATGTCAACAGAGCCATCTACTTGACGTACAACCGAGTGAAGAACAAGACTACTTGGTCATTTACGTATATTTTGATGCTAATACTTTTACTTGAGTCACATTTTGAATGCAGTACTTTAACTTGTAACAGAGCATTCCTACACTCTGGTATTCCTACTTTTACTTAAGTACAAGATCTGAGTACTCCACCTCTGCATTTCCATAACGTTGATTTACTAGTTACGGTGTGCCATGCTAAAAAAAAACAGGTCTAAGATGAGCCTGTAACTCATTCATGAGTAACTGATAATACCTAACCTTAAACTGAGTGGTTAACGTTCAAGTATCAGCATAACCGGAAGGCTAACGTTAGCTAGGAAACATTAGCGGTTAGTGAGCTTGCAAAGAACTTGCGTTGGTTAACTTGTCTAAGCAGAAAATAAAGCAACAGACCTATTAATAATGGCTTATTTTGTGTCAGTGGTGTTACTCACATGTTTACATGAGCAGCAGTAGATCCAACTTGTTTACGCTACTGAACTGAGTCGTTATTTTTGAAATATCCGCGCTCTACACAAAGGAGTAGGCGGGGTCTCAACACCGGAAGTAGCGTCCAGCTTATTTTCCTTCCGCTTTCAAACAACGAAAACAATGTATTACATTTTTTTTACAACTGAATGCTTTCTATTCCGTTACTAACCAGAAAGCGGAGATACCGTAGGAATTTGTTATTTCTTGCTTAACATTGTAATAACGCCAGAGGAGAATGTATCATGTATGTCTGTATTGTGATTGTACACCATCTTGTGGTGAAACTGGTGAAGTTCAGGTGGGCCAAAACTACCCAACAAACTGTTTAAAATACTGTTACCAAAACATTGTTATTTCTAATTAGGTAAATAAAAATGCTCTTACAATGATGACTGTGGGTATAAATGGAGAGAAACATAGAGCAGGTACAGGCTATAACTCTGGATGGCAGGTGGACTTTAGTAAACCCTTGTTATTGCTACATTCACTGAGAAGGGGATTTTAATGAGTCTGAAGAGATCCAGTGGGCTACTGGGGGCACTACTTGGGATCCATCCATCCATCCATCTTCTCCCGCTTATCCGTGGTCGGGTCGCGGGGGTAGCAGTTCCAGCAGAGCCCCAAACTTTCCTTTCCCTGGCCACATCAACTACTACTACTTGGGATCACATTATTTAATTCATAGTGGGGTCAAACTGAATATCTTGCTGTTGTTACCATGGCTCCGTTGAAATATTTATGATCCCAGATAGAGATATAAAGCTGTCTTCGCTTCAGATTGTGCCTTGACAGGTGCAGAAGAAGCAGCCCAGGCACACAGAAAGGGAACCTCAGATGGATTGTACAGCAGTGGTTCCCTGTTTATATATGTTTGCACCATCAGAGCTTCTACAGGAAATACCACAACGTTCTCAACTTCATGTCAACTGTGGGAGACCCTCGTATCATTTGTTTCTAATTATTTCCCCCTGTGATTCCATCTCAGCCAAAATGTGAAAACCAGGATGAAACTGTTATTGGTGACTGGTTCAATCTTATTTTCAACTGAGGATAATATTTTAATTCATGTCACTTTTTACCATTTACCATGTCTATATTTAAACATGTTATATATATGTATCTTATTCAACTTTGCATTCTAGCTTACTTCAAAACAATGCATCGGTGCTGCGGTTGAAATAAAAGAACTCAGGCTACACAGATTAGAATGTGATAGTTTTCAACACAGAGCAAGATATCATAATTATATTTAAGGCCACTTGATCATGCTATAACAGAACCATATTATTTTTATATAAAGAAACTACTTGTAAACAAATAAATAACTTTAAATATGTTTATTTCAATTTTTACATTTTTCAATAATAAACTACAAGATCACTAAAACCAATTATTCAAATATTTATATTCTATACCTGACAAATGAAAAAAAGTCTTCTTGTACTATAACACCCATTCAACATAATTGTCGTCATACGCTCATCCTTCTGTCTGTCTAGCTGATAGGAGCACCTGTTGTGACCAGATTAAAATAGGCGCCCTTCTTGGCCATGAGAGTATCATGTGTGCCTTGTTCTATCACGGCACCATTAGACATCACTGCTATGATGTCCGCATACTGGATACTAGACAGCCGGTGAGCGATGACGATGCAGGTTCGTCCTTTTCTCACCTCATCCAGGGCAGACTGCACCATCTGCATGAAAACAGAGCTTAGTCAGGAACCCTTAAGCAAGTATGTGAAGATTTAGATGACACAAATAAATACTCATACAAGGGAACACCTTGCTTTGTGTTTATGAGTTTTAATGTTGTTTATAATTGTGTTACCTGTTCACTCTCTGTGTCCAGGGCAGATGTAGCTTCATCTAGTAGCAGGATCTTTGGGTTTCTGACGATGGCCCTGGCTATGGTGATGCGTTGTTTTTGTCCTCTTGACAACTGGGAGCCGTGGGTACCAACCTGAGTCTCATATTTCTTAAGATTTGTATATGTGTTGAGAAAAGTGGGGAGAGCAAAAGGTCACAAAGTAAACATTCTGGTCAAAATGTACAACTAAAATAAAAATGGTTTCTATTGTTACAATTTTGCGTAAACTTGACTTTCTAGTTGGGTAACAAATCCGACAGTCACATACATTCAAATCCTGCATACATGCTTCAGATTAGGGCGACAGTTGAGATTTAAAATGGATATATTGTGCTCATTGTGATCCCTAATTTCATAATTGAAGACGTTTACATGCTTCAACGTTATAAAACATTTTTAGCCTATTCATTTGTTCATACTGTCTGACTGAGTATACTCTGTCCTAAACGCTCCATTTTAGCATCCACCTTACATTACCAGACTTTAACAACTTACTTGTGGTAGCGTCATCACAAAGTCATGAAGGTAGGCTTTCTTAGAAGCCTCAACAATCTCTTCCATGCTGACATGGCATGTATTATTTCCGTATTGAATATTCTCCGCTATGCTGCAGCCAAACAAAACTGGCTCCTGGGACACTATGCCAATCTGGGATCTTAGGAAGGGCACATTGACATTTTGAGATGGGCGGCCATCAATCAACTGAAAAATGAAATATGACATAATTAGGACTTTGGTTTGGATAAACTCATTTTGTGATTAGTAAAATGAATGTCTGAAATGGGTAACATACCACACGTCCTTGATCAGGGTCATAAAACCTTTCCAACAGTTGAACACTGGTGCTTTTTCCACAGCCGCTGCTTCCAACAAACGCCAAAGTCTGACCAGGCTTCACAGACACAACCAGGCCGTTCAACACTTGCACATCTGGTCGAGTTGGATAGGTGAAGTTACAATTAAGGAACTGTATTTCACCTTTGAAGTTATCCTAAATATGAACAAATGAGATTAATCATCTCAAGGTAACATCATCACAACATGGCATCCCATTCTGATGTCTTAATGATTGAATTCACCAACCCATTTCTCTCCAACTGCATGGCTTGTGCTGATTTTGGGAATTCTGTCCAATAGTTTGAAAAACTGAGCAGCAGCTATTTTGGCCTTGGAGTAATCTGGAGTGAAGGAGGAAGCTTTGCCCATTGCTGTCCCACTCAATATTACAGCCAGAATCACCCTGGTAATCACAAAACACCAAATACAGTACATTTAAACATGGAATTAAAAAAAATACAGATTTCCTATTGAAAGATTTTGACCAACCTGAAGACATATGTGTACAGTAATCCCTCAGAGCTAACCAGGTGGCCTCCATATCTAAAGGAAGCAGCGTATGCCATGAAGTGGAGACACTGGGAAAAACCAAAACAAAGCCCATGGATGTTGGCTTTCTTTATGGCAGATATAAATGGAAGCTCCAGTTTCTGCTCATACGATTCCACAAAAAAGGTCTCTTTGTTTAAGCCTGCAATCGTCCTGATGTTGGAAAGAGCCTCACTGGATACCTGTGGGACAAAGTTATGATCTTTAACTGTGGCCATTGGTTTCTCAGGGCAGTGTATAGATCATTTGGGCTCGATGGCGAGCTTACTTGGCCTGCTTCTTCCATGGATTCTCTATCTTCATTTACAAAACTTGTCAGCATTTTGGCTTGGAAAGCTCCAGACATTCCGAGTAGTGGCAGGAAGCACATAATAACCAAAGTTAACTTCCAACTATAGATAAAAGCAATGATGAAAGACGCTCCAATGCAGGTCAACGAGCTCACGATCATGCCAATCTGAGATCCTGTTGCCTGTAGAAGTCAAACAAGCAATTTGCACAACAGTGTTGAAATTACACCACCAACCATTTGCTTTTCTGTGTTATATACTGTATAATGAGAAAAATAGATACACACATGTAAATCCGTCACTTACCCCCTGCACCATGGATACATCAGAGGCCAGTCGGGTGGTCAGAGCTCCAGGGCTGTTTGAGGGATCATCAAAAAAGCCAATCTCCTGACTCAACATGGCCTGGAAGCCCACTTTCCTCAGACGGCGGGTCAGCAGCTCTCCAGACTTAGCAAAAGAATATCCCTAAACAACAAATCAGAGTCAACACTACATTTACAGTAAAGGATGCACAATGTTGATGGCCAGTCATCGGTATTGCCAACCTAAACGTTTTTTAAATGCAATTTGGGCATCGGCCACATTATTCACATGAGATACAAACTGTTGACTACAGTGCAGCAAGAATTATAGCTGCAGTTCATTTTTGCACATACAAATCAACAAAAACCCACATTGTGCATCCCTGGATTATACTGTTGGGCTTACTCCTATATCACATTGGTAAAAAGATATATACTGAAATGTAATGTAAATGTTTTAATTATGTGGGAAATTCTGATACAAACCTGTAAGAACTGGAAGAAGAAACTAGCCACAGCCACAATGCAAAACAGAACACATATACTGTTGATTTGTTCCCTCTGTTGGTTCAAGTCAGCTATGGAAAATGTCTGCAATACAAAGATCAGAAAGGTCATTTGCAATTCAGTCAACTACATCAGCTTGTTAAACACAGCATAAGGAATTTAAGTTTGTGAAATACGCTATTCTTACCCCAAGAATTTGGCTAAACAGGATAGCATAAACAGGGGTGACAAAGCCATTGATAGCAGCTCCTATCGAGCCCATCAGCATGTAGGGCCATTCTGGTTTGTTGTATTTGAGGATACGTGCTACTGGGGCAGGCTCTACATGTTCGTCTGCAGCATCCTCAGATTCCTGTTAAAAATACACATGGGAGCTATTTATTTCCACATCAAGTCAGTGTACAGTATTATAGGGCATCAAAGTAAATCTCAGTACCTTTTCTGGTATGAACCCGTAGTCTGAGGGGATATTGAGGCTCTCTGATAATGCGTGAATGGACAATTTGCTTTCAGATCTCAGTCGAACAGAGCCCCTAGAGTAGTACATTTAAGAATTATTTGTATTTCATTATAAGTTTTTTTTTTTTTTCCCCCTGATTTTATCTTTTTGAGCTGGATTGACTTTACCTTTGACTTGATGTGCAGCTCAAACTGTTCAGATGAATGGCATCTTCATGAGCTTCACTGATTGCATCT